AATCGACCCGCCGCGGGCCGATTATTAGCTGATAGACAAAGAAGACATAGGAAGTATGGAGCGATCCTATTGGTTGCCATGGTTGGTTCTCATAGACTAAGGAAGAAAATGATGGACTAACTCTCGGGGGTGCCGTTACAGTGGGTTGCCGTTAGTTAGTCTATTATCTACCTCCTATGTCCATTGCCACCACCTGCTCCCAACAATAGGATCCCTCCACATCCCTTTTGTCGTCTTTGTCTATAGCTTTGTCTATAAGTTTCAACAATCGATCCGCTAGGCCGGATCAGGGTTATGGGGCCCTTAAAATTCAGGGTTCAGGGCTACCTATTGACCTCTAGAAAACCTGAGACTGGAGTTCCGATGAGACTGTAAGATAAGAATTTTGTGGGCATTCGGCTAGGTCCATGAACTCTTGGGTTCTGATCTGAGTATTTAATCGGGTTTCTAAGACAAACCGACGATGAAAGTTCGCAACCATGTATTTCGATTTTTGGCGGCTTATGGAGACTTATGGGGCAGTAGATGCCCTTCGTTTGCGAAAAATATATGTTAGTCGAGAAAATCTGAAAGATAGCCTCTCAAAGACTAAAACTCTTTTCACAGGGGCTCCAAATCTCTTAAATCAGTATTTTTTGATCTCTTAGGACCAAAGTTACAATCAGTGGCGTGATGTGAGTGATCGATTATTCATATTTCCCCATTTGAAGCCATGGTAATGAATAGATTATTAAGGTATCCGTTTCGAACACCTTGTTTATCGATCCTTTTGCATGAGTTCAAATGGCAGATCAATCGATGTATCGCTAAGCACGCCACGCCTCGAGACCCTGTGTTTTCTTGTAAATGCGAAACGCCTTCAATTTACAAAGTATACAACCCAGAATGTGAGGGCCCTTTTACACGCCAGCACCGCAGACCCCTGAGCGCTAATCCGGCCCTCGCGGAACCGTTTAACACAATTAAGTGGTGCGGAAATCCCCCGATTTGCAAAAGTGTGCGGGAATGTACACCTCCCTTTCCGAAGGGCTCTCACACGGACTTGCTGTTCCGGAACATTGGCTCATACTCAATACCATTCACATGCTCCGACTCAAAGGCATTACCTCCCTTAGAGAACTCTTGGGACGTTTGAAACAAGTTAAATAAAAAGTTGAGTTAAAAACACCAGTGTGACCAACAACACAGAACGAGCGAAACCCCTGGTAAAAATTGGCAGTAGAATGTGTGTTCCAAAATACTATAGACCTAAAGCCGGCTGTACGATTTCCAATAGCTTCTGTAGCCGGCTGTACAATTTCTTATAGTCTTTTATAGCCGATGGCGATTAAGCAACAGCCAGACGATAAAGTTTATACTAAACGTTACTAAATACGGATACGAGGACTTCGTTAGTTTCTGGACTACCGCTTTCTTTTTGTGCCGTAGTTTCTTGACTTATTTTGCGAGGAAAGCTCCGTACTTTTGAAGGATGCATGTCATTCTTAATATGTTGGAGCGCCTTAAATTTCGTATGATACTGTGCAATACCTCTGGTGTGAAATAGTTGCTCCAGACGCCGTGGCACGCTACGGCGCGGCGGGCGGGCAGAGAGCGCGGAACGCGCATTGGCGCCTACAAACCTAACAGGGATACTTCACGCATTGCGCAATGCGTGAAATATCCCTGTTAGGTTTGTAGGCGCCAGTGCGTCGCCGCGCAGTGCGTGAAGTATCCCTGTTAGGTTTTTAGGCACCAATGCGTCGCTGCTCCGCTTTGTGTTAGGCTCTAATATTTAATCTCGCGGAGTCAGCGTTTTTCAACTCATGATTTTGAAATGTTTGCACACTCTGTATGGACCATCTCATTTTAGTTGATGAAATAAAATATGTTTTAAAGGAAAATATAATGCGTGTTTTGTAAATTTTAAGGTAGTTCCTTATCAAATATAATGATTTCCAAAGCACACGAATTTCTACACAATTTCTTATGGCCTTTCATAGCCAATGGCGATAAAGTGTAAAGCCCGGCGATAGGAACTACAGCCCGACTGTATACTTTTTTAGAGCTTCGTATAGCCCGGCTATATGATTTGCTCCGCTTTCTACAGCCAGCTATATGGTTTTCAATAGCCTTATCTAGTCGGCTATAAGAACTCCTATGGTATTTTGAAACGCAGCTCGTATCGCCAAGTTTTACCAGGGTAACATAAACCACTAAAAAAAAAACTCTGGAGCCGCACAACGTCAAATGTAAAATATCGGAAAATAGAGCTAAAAATGCTACCGGGCGAAGATAAACTTCCAAGAATTTAATTTTTTCAGTAAAAATTAAAAATTATCCATTGAAGCGTCAGAGGAAGCCTCTTTTGTTACCTCCATTTCCTCAAACTTGTGCATGAAAATCGCTACAAGGTTAGGGAGAGATAAATTATTACTTTGACCACGTTTTTAACCTAAATAAATTGGGTGAAAATGGTACCTTGGAAGAACTTTGTGGGTTACAGCTCTCTATTGAAGCGCTTAAGAATCGATTCCCGACAAAAGAGGTCGGGCTCCGGGCGTTTTAAAAGCCAAAAATTCATTTTGAAATTTGAAAATTATTGCTCTCGCAGGAATGCTTCGAGAGCAAGCAAGAAAGCAGCCAATGAGTTTAGATCAGTAATTGTTGATTGTTGCATTTTTGAAAGGTAGAGAGTGCACTTGGTTCACGGGATTAACTTAGAATATCCTTCGAACTAATCTGCACTCTCTACTTTTCAAAAACGCAACAATTACAAATTATAAATTAGTTGGGACCCGCAATCGTGTATTCACTACCAGAAAAGAATGCTGCGACCAAGTGCCTCGGTTCATTCCATGCAACTGAAACGCTGCTTTCCCGGCATCCATTTAAGGCTTATCGCTAGTAGCGGTGATCATGATAAGTTGTGATTTGATCGGAGAATGTACCGCGATTTTATATTATCGATTAAAAATTGCGATATATTGCGATTGCATCGCAAAAATAAAATGCAATGAAATCACAATTTTGTGGACGATGATGGATCGCGACAAAAAATCGCGATAAATGAAGATAAAATATCGATTTTATTGAACGCGATTTTATAAAGATAAAATTGCGACAAGACCGAGGCTAATCGCTCAGATTTTAATAATCCTACCGATTTAATTGCCTAAAAATGGCAACTTAACTTCAAAATATTGCGATTCTTCCTTTGAAAAATGCTGTAAACTTGGGAAAACTTCTGGCTTTGGAACTGTTTTTTTGGCTTTCAAAACACCCTGAACCAGCTGATCAACATGATCAGCTGACCATCTAATCGGGGCTCAACATCCTCGTTTTTTCTTATTAATTTTTCGGTGAAAATCATACATGTCGACGGTGTAAGTCGGCAATCACAAAACTCGTTTGCGGTGTCTGAAAATCTTCGCCTTTACGTTATTTTTTTAAAGGAGAACAAACCGACATCATTCCTTCAAGTTTTTGCAGAATTTTCTTCACACAGAGAAGAAAAATCACGGCAGTTTTAAAGGATTGCCGTTGAGTAGTTTTCCGTTTAAAAAATAAAGTATGATTGGAAGTCTGCGACATCGCAAACCGAGTTATGTGATTGCCGACTTACACCGTCGACATGTATGATTTTCACCGGAAAATTAATAAGAAAAAACGAGGATATTGAGCCCCGATCAAATGGTCAGCTAATCATGTTGATCAGCTGGTTCAGGGTGTTTTAAAAGCCACAAAAACAGTTCCAAAACCAGAAGTTTTCCCAAGTATACAGCATTTTTCAAAGGAAGAATCGCAATATTTTGAAGTTAAGTTGCCATTTTTAGGCGATTAAATCGGTAGGATTATTAAAATTTGAGTGATTATCCCCGGTCTTGTCGCAATTTTATCTTTATAAAATCGCGTTCAATAAAATCGAAATTTTATCTGCATTTACCGTCGATGTATCTCGCGCATTTTTCTGCTCATTATCTCTGCAACTGGTGCCGCGAATCTCGGAATCCCGGCCGCGGGTGGGCACCATGCGCCTACCTCGTTACAACAATACGCTCTTAAAAATAGAATCCGCAGTCGAATGTTTACCTGGAAGCTCGAGGAAGTTGGACGTCCTACGTTGCCTGCTGCGGGCGGTGTTGGCGAAGTTCAACGGGGCGAGCTCCTCGTCGCAGTACTCCGAGGCCTGCGAATCCCTGCTCTCCCGCCGGGACGCGAGATAAGCCAGACCGCTCTTGACACTCCCCACGCGGGAGCGCGGCCGCGGCGAAACCGGGGATGATGGACGCGAAACGGACGCCGCGCTCTCCTCCAAGACGTCCGTCAGGTCGGTCGTCGAGCACCCGCAGGCGTCGACCCCGCACGAGAACTCAGACGAGGGGTAGCTCGAATTGACCTTGGACGGGCTCCGCGGAAGGGACTCGAAGCCGAAGGACGAGGACCCGCGAGCCTCCGGGGACCTCGGGGCCACCGGGCTTCTCGGCGAAGACGAGAAAGAGAAGCGACGGCTCTTGCTCCGGCTATTGGGGCTCGGCAGTAAGGGCGGGAACTTGAAGACCGTGCTCGAGCTGGACGAGGAGGTGTTGGGGCTCTTGCGGAGGCTCACGGAGCTGACCGAGTTCTGCCGGAACCCGCACTCGAAGTCGTCCTCCTCGCTCAGGTTCTCGATTTTGTCGTTGCTCTTCGTCTTGGTGATCGGGCTGCTGGCGTGGGAGAATATCGTCGACGCCGAAGACGCCGAGCCGGAACTTTTGAGGGGGATGTAGGAGTGGGAGCAGGATCTCGCCAGCTTGGATTTGCCCTTGAGCCTCGCCTCGCTCTCGATCGGCGGGACAGAGTTGTAGTGGCTCAGGTCCCGGGTCTTCCTCACGGTGCTCTTCTTTCTTTTGATCGAGTTGGGCGGACTCCTCGTCGAGATGATCGGAGGCGAGGACTGCTTGAGCGGCCCGCTGAGCCGTTGCGCTTCCTCGAAGCTGTAGCGCTGCTTGGCAGAAGGCTCGTGGCATCTCCGCGGCTGAGAATGCTCCTCGCTCTCCTCGAGTGTGTCGTTCTTCTTGTGCGACTTGGGCTTGCAGAACTCGAAGTGGAGGGTGAACTGCTCCTCGAGCGGGTCGTTGGCGGACCCGCATTTGTGGAGCAGCTTCGTGGTGCTGTCTTCGCTGCCGCAGTCGGGCGAGCTGGAGACGGAGAACATTTTTTTGAGGTATACCTTGACTGATAATTTGGCGAGGACACAGACGTAGCGGGGATATTCCATTAAAATATTTTCCGGGGCGCATTAGCTAATGAGAGTTCAGTGCTCGTGGTGATTCCGACCGGGCCTCGCTCGGCGTGGTATCGCATGGAGGCGGCGCGGCCGGGATTCCTCGCTGTCGGTTGCCTGTAACAGATGAGCAATCGTTAATTAATTAATCATGGAGCAATCTTTGAGCGGACACGTGAAAGGGATGTGCAGGATATACCTGGTGGTAGGCATTGGCATAGGTGCCAACGAATACCACCAGTGCTCCTATTTGCCGAAACTGGTACCGACTTGCGGAAGTTTTTAGATTTTCCTGAATTTTTCCCGGAATTTTAGAAATTCCCGAAATGTTCCGGATCTTTTAATTTTTCCGGATCTTTCTCGGAACTTTTGAAAAAATCTATAAGGAACCCCAGAAATTTTGGCGGTCATGGAGTTGGAGAAATTGGAACAAAAAGTTCCGAATCCCGGAACTTTTGAGGGACATGGAATGGGAGCACTGCATACCACCGGGTACTACGAAATGATTCATCAACAATTTCAAGGCATGCGACGGCGAGTTTTACATACATAGGGTGTCCAAAAAGTATGTTGACCGTATTCATTTTTGGATCAAACTACAGTAGCTTCTAAGATGCGGTTTGCGTGGTCTGAAAGTCCTCCTAGGTACCTTTATAATGGAACTACTGTGGAGCTCTGTTAATCAAAAATTGAATGATTGACGGATTTTTGAGAACGGTGTGTTCACTATACTCCTCCTGGCTTTTCACCATGTTCTCCAAGAGAAAAAGAGAAAAAAAAACCCTTGTCACAAGTGCAAGTGGCAGTGTTTTTCCTTCGGCTTGCCTTTTTGGAAAGTGGAGGAGACGGTTTTTTGGTAGTCCGTACATTTACCGTGGCATTGGTGTGTTTTCCAAAGATTTTCATGAATTGAGGAATTCATGACTGAGTTACGGATGTATTTTAATTTCGGTTTAAGTTATTCATTTTTACTCGAGTTATTGTAACAAGTCCCCCCTTACACCCATGAAAATTCTAAAAAATGGCCGTCATTGCAAAAAGGCGTCGGCTGATTTTGCTGCACTTTAATAGGAATACATTTCTTGATGGATCTCTTGGTGCATTAAAATTTCAGTTCAAAAGATACTATTTTTCTCGAGTTATCGCGAGGGAAAAATTAAACCTTTATTCTGATCCCTCACGCTGCAAAGTAAAACTAACGTATTCCGAATTCAGCTGGAAAATGGGGGGATTAGGCCACGTATCGGTCAGGGAGCGTAGCTCCTTAGTCCCCTGTAGAATATTCAGATTGATCTCTGTCGGCGAATTCGTTTTAGACTCGATAACTTTTGATACAAACGCGTCGACTTATACAAATTTTGTAATGGTGAGCTTCTGCCGGCGCGGCGGTATGGAGGTTGAGTTCTAATTTGGGTCTAAGCGAATTTAATGTTTACTACAAAACATTAATTCTATAAGGTGGTCTCTTCGCGCTGTTTACTTTGAACTGGGTAGTTTTTTCTTGATTTCCTGTCGGAACTGAAAAAGATGACAAGAGGAAGGAGAAAAACAAAAAATAAGGAGCAAAACAAAAAGACAAGAGAAACGAGAAAGAGGAGAAAAAAGAAAGCACAGATGAGAAAAATAGGTAAGCATGTAAGAGAGAAAAGAAGAAGAGAAAATACAATTGGGAAAGAAGCGAAATCAGAAATAGTAGTGCCATCGTAAAAGTGCACGCGTGCTGGAAATAGCTATTTACCAAACATGGAAAGATTACACTAACACCATGTCAGTTCGTCTTCAATTTCAGTAAAGGCAACTCGAGCTCTCACGTGGTTGAATTTTGTGTTATCATTATGAAATGCCCCACGCTTACTCGGGATACACATTCAAAAAGTAGCACTATATCAGACGGGAAAAGGTTACTGCAACGCCGTCTCAGTTTGCCTTCAATATTTAGGGTAGGCAGCACAAGCTCCCACGTGGTCGAATAGTGGTAGCGTGTCCCCTGTTAATGGTCACACGGCCTTTCCTGGCGAATTCATTGTATAGACACGATAACTTCTGTTAGAACTGCGTCAACTTTTTTAAATGTTTAAATGCCGTGTCTTTAAATCGTATAAAGGTTGAGTTTGAATGAGAGCTCAATACTTGGTGCATTTGCTGTTTACCTACCGATTAACAGCCACTAATATAAGTGCTCCTCTTCCGCTGTTTTCCACTGAACTTTTTCTCTTTTTTTTCCAATTCTTGTCTAAAGGAAAGAAGATGGAAAGGTATAGACGGGGAGAAGAATAGAGATAGGGGAAGGAGAAAGAGAAGAAGAATAATAGAGGAGGAAATAAGGAAAAATAGTTGTACAATTTTTTTACTTTGAAGATGTGCCGTAGCAACTTTTGGCTATTTCACACGTTTGCAATTGAAGTACGGATTCGGTTACGAAGAGAAGAAAAGAGGAATAACATTCTTAAACTTTAGAACGAATTGAGCGAAGGACTGGACATTTTGACTGTCTTGCTGTGTCGAAGTAAACTAATTTTGTCCCTTCCTCTAAAAAAAACTTTAGGGATCCCTTCTGGAGGGGAGCTCCGGGAATAACTTTTTTTACAAATGGGAACCTCTACCTTGTGGCAAATCTTTGGATGGATAATAAAAAATAGTATCTTTGGCGCAAATTTCAGGTAGATATTTGGATTTTAACAGAACCCAAGTAGCAGTGACCGCGATAAATAGCGATTTTATCGGTTGGTAATCGCGATTACATCGATGGCAATACATCGAGATATTATCGCATTAAAAATTGCGATATATTGCGATTAAATTGCTACACTTTGCAATTTTTGGTTGAATAAAATCGTGATTAATTTTCGTCGATAAAATTAAGATTAAATCGCCATTTATCGGGATTTTTATCTCGAAAATATCGCGATAAATTGTCGAGCGATAAAAGCGCGATTTTATCCCGATAAGATCAAGGATAATCGCTCAGATGTTGTTGATCCCGGCAATTTTATCGCCGATAAAATCGTATTATACTTAGCTATTTTTCCGTTGAGAAATGCTGCGCTCAACTTGACGGGATTTTGAGGGGGTTTTTTACCGATGGAAATGCTAGAAACTTGAAACCTGAGGTATTTTGATACGAAAAATAGGTAGGCACGACATTGGCATCGGGCTTTCAAAATTTTGAAGACCTTTCAAGATGGCGGCCTATCGAAATAATTGGGTATCTGCCTGTTTTTATGGCTTGTTGCCAGAAATTCAGCATTCTATAGTTTTCCGAGAAATTACAGGTCAAATGACCCCTGTCTCTCGAGTTCCGAACTTTCAAACCATATCTCGTTGTTAAAATTGAAGATTCAAATTTCCCGCCATTTCCCTTATCCATCATCTTGGAAAGGCATCGACATTTTGAAAGCCTGGAGTAAAATTATTATCTCCCATGGCAACTAACGACTTCCCCTCAAAGTTCAAGCGAAACTAACACTGAAACTCGCACTTTGAATTTTTCGTCATTTTAACGTTAGCCACCATCTTGAGGGAACTTCACAATTTTGAAAATCTGATGCCAAATTCGAATTTTTCGTGGCAAACACTTCGCCTCTCTGGCAAAAATATCGGTAAAAAAAATCCCTGAAAACTCTTAGGGGCGGGTTTCTCGCCATTTTGACTGGCTACAGTAATTAAGGGGTTCCAGTGATTCTGATGACCTGACGTCTTTGTACTTTTCAAGCCAAAATACTCTTAAATTTTGGATGCCAGCAAATTTATCAGAGAAATTCCCTAAATTCTTTGGAGCGGGTTTTCTGCCATTCGATGAGTTGACATCTTACGAAGGCTTCAACATTTTGAAATACTAAGGGCAAATTTGCGTTTCTCGTGTTAAAAAACCCGTCGAAGCCGCATTCGTGACAAATTCACTCGTAGAACCCGTAAAAACCCTTGAAAACCGGTTTCTGTCGTTTCACGGGTCCTGGTCTCCGATTGGCTGGTGTAGCAGTCCACTGCAATAATTTCTTAGCCAAAATAGCTTTTTGACGGAAAAATTGCATTGTTTTGAAAGTAAGATGCGATTTTTTGGTGATAAAATCCCTAGGATTATTAACATCTGAACGATTATCATAATCGCGTTCGATAAGATAGAAATTTTAATTCCATTTATTAAGATTTTTTGTTTGATAACATTGCGATAGGTCGCTGCCGATAGAATCGCAATTCTTGTATCCCATAATTCTGCAAGAAATCGACGTCTAAAAAATCGCGATGCATTCTCGGATCAAATCGCAACTTATCGCAATCACTGCTTCTTGAGAATCAATTCCTTGTTTCCTTTATGCCCTTCCTCGCTGAAATAATTTAACAAAATGTCATTATTTTATAAAGTTTCATGAGATTTTGCATCTCTCTTCTAGGCGCTATCCTAGCTTCGTAATTTTCTAAAATTTGATTTTATTCCATTCCGCGAATTCATGATAAAAAGCGTGCGAGAGTACACAGATTTCAGCAGGGGGCACGACAGTATGCACTTGGTGGCATAAAAATCACGAAGAAAAATAATATGTACCTTAGAACTGATCAATTAACCACTAGGACCTTCGAAAGTGCATCCAACGCCGTAAGAACGGAGCGGATATCCGACCGATTTTTTTTTACACCGTGTGTTTCCGTGGAATGAAGTCATTCCGAAAACACAACGCACGATCCCACTAAGTTTCTCCGCAGAACTCACTTGCATTCATCGTTACGTGTGTAAACATGAAAATATTTGCGTTTCGAGAGATTGAAGGCGTTACTTGCATTACTCCGCGCCGGATTTTGGAAACAGGTGGCGAGAGAGAGGAGAACGGCCGAGCGCGAGTGGAGACGAACGCGGAGGAGACTAGGGCGACATCGGGATAGGGAGCGCGGTAACAATAGCGGGAAAAAGCGGGGAAAAGCGAGGGCGCGAGGCGAAAAACTGAGGAACAACTGACGCGGCGATGTCCGAATCAGCATGTGGGCGGCTCGTTGACAGTGGTCGAAATCGAGCGCAGACTCTCTGGCAATAACGGAGAGCGGCCGGCGCGGCGCACCAAAGTTCGCGGCCCTCGTCTGGACCCCCACAGAAGTGGGCAATCTTCGGAGCGCAGACCGCGGGGAATAAAGGATCTGTATCTCGATTCTTTTTCGGAGCGTCGGGGGTACCTGAGAATTTTCGTGCACGCTTGCAACACCGCGAACACCCCTTTTCGTCGGCCAAGGAACCCTGGGTAACGGAGCCTTTGTTATTATCGGGGAGAGAGCACTCGCCAGGATCCTCTTCTCCTCTTCAAATGTTGGAATTTCGCGAATTTTTCACTCGAAAATTGAGAGGTTCAGCAAAACTCAGTTCGAACGAGTATTTTTAGCGTGGTGGGAGCTTTCAGAGAGTGTATTGCATGATAGGATTTTATCAATTTATGCTCGAGTTAGCGTCTTCGAAGCGCCGAGAGACCCCCTTTTTACGTCTGGGCCAATTCCGAAAACGCCTCATCTTTAATTTTGACGACATACTGATATATTATTCCTGGCTCTCTATAAATGAAAATTATTTTTTGGATTTAATATGAAATCATGTTTTAAAAATCTGGTAAATTAATAAATTGATCGTGGATTACAGATTCGGTATGGATGCAACTGGATGCCCATTTGGCTTAATGCACCCCCCTCCCCCACCAAATTCGAAACTCAAACTTTCCTCATCGTCAGAATTTTGTTCAATTTTCCCCCCATTTTTTTCGCAAAAAAAGAAAGAAAATTGTGCACCTGCCGCATTCCAGAGGGTCGAATGCTTAAAACGGACTGAAGAGACTGCACAGTGGTCTTGAAGCAAAAAAAAAAATGTGACATAAATGTACCCACAAACTGTATGCAGCGGGTCAGTCGTGAGTAGTGTGGACTTAAAATCAAGAAAAATCAAAATCTTGGCTGATCCTAATTCCGAGGTATCGCAATTTGAAATTTTCATGGTAATTGCAAGTTTTCTACTGATTTTGATCCTCTTTTTTATTTATTTTGTTCATTGACTCGGTGTTGATCGGTTCACGTTTTTTTATTTTTCGTTCTAGTCATGTCGATCGAATACATACCCTCTCGTTACATGCAGACTACCTGTCATACTCTTCCTTTTTAACCGAATATTTCACCTTCCGCTGCGTCTGCAGCAATTGTTGTTACGAATATGTTGTGCGTGCTGATTTTAGCCCATTACATACTCGACTCTCTGAAGGCGTTTTATGGGCGCAAATAGCGCTATCTGCTGGAGAATAAAAGAAGTGAAATTGAATGAATCGCTTGATCCCTTCTCCGACAGACAGCGCTACTTACGGACATAAAACGCCTTCAGAGAGTCGAGTATGTAATGAGCTAAAATCAGCACGCACAACATATTCGTAACAACAATTGCTACAAACGCAGCTGAAGGCGCATTGCTTTCGCACATAAAGCGCCTTCGGAGAGTCGAGTACGTAGTGAGCTAAAATCAGCACGCACAACATATTCGTAACAACAATTGCTACAAACGCAGCAGAAGGCGAAATGTTCGGTTAAAAAAAAAGAGCGTGACAGGTAGTCTGCATGTAACGAGAGGGTATGTATTTGATCGACATGAATCGAACGAAAAATAAATACGAGAACCGATCAACACCGATTCAATGGACAAATAAATAAAAAAGAAGATCAAAATCAGTCCCGTATGGGGGACTGATGTTACAGGTTTAGCAATCCTGCGGACCCCAGCTGGTAACCCCTGCCTTATGGGGTAGTGGAGATGGTCACCGGCTTCAAGGCGTATGAACCACTCATTGGAAGGGCAGACAGGGCTCTCAGCTGTAGTGGAAGCAACCTGTCTAGGAGAGGAAACTCCGAAATCAAACCCCGGTCCTCCAGGTTGGGGGTTGAGTCATCGGGCTAACTCCCCGATACTCGGAAAAAGAAATACTGTTAAAAGACCCAATAACAATTGCCTCGGTACAAATGGAAATAAACGGATTTATCGGAAAAAATTACGTAAACGGATGATGGTTTTTGGAACATGGAACGTACAAGGAATTTCTACGAAAATGACGGAAGTGGTATCGGAGATAGGGAGTCACGGATTTGATGTCACAGTATTAACAGAAACGAAGAAGAAAGGACAAGGCTCTGTAAGTGTAAAGGAATACGATTTGTTTTATAGTGGCGTGGAAAAAGATCAGCGAGCTCAGCAGGGTGTTGCAATTCTTATTCGCAAGAGCCTACGGAAGTGCATCACTACATGGGAAGCTATTAACCCCCGAATGATAAAGATGAATATGGCAGTGTTTGGCCATAAAATCACCATTTTGGGAGTGTATGGAGTCAACGATGATTCCACTGTCGCAGTGAAGGACCAATTTTTCGAAGAATTGAACGAGGAAATTGGTAAGATTGGATACAGGAGGGAAATCATTGTGTTGGGAGATCTCAATGGTAGAATAGGACGTCAAATTAAAAGTAAGATCGTCGGCCCTTTCGGAGAGGCGGCACTAAATGATAACGGAGCCCGTATCATTGACGTATGTGAGCAAAGGGACATGAAGGTGCTCAATGGGTTCTACCAACACAAGGATATCCATAAATTTACTTGGGTTCAGTCTACTCGCGGATTGAAATCAATCATTGATTATGTGGTTGTTAGACAAGACACGGGAATGAAGATTCAGCAAGTTAGAGTGTGGAGAGGTCTTTCCTGCGGCAGTGATCATTATTTCCTCGGGGCGAAAATAGCTTTCCCAGTGAAAGGGAGCCAGGAGACCAGGCAAGCACAGGAACAGGTTCACCAACAAAAAGATCGTGTCAAGCTTGTGAACTATAATATTGACAGCTTGCAGCATCCAAGTGTAAGGGCTTTATATGGAAAGCGCTTGGATGAGAAGTTGGGCGAATCAAGGGACGGTGATACCGAACAGCAGTATCAGTTCTTGAAGGATTGCATTCACTCGGCAGCAATGGAGGCTCTTGGTGTCGCTGATGATAGGAAAGTTAGCGAAAAGCCTTACTGGTGGGACGAAGAAATTGAGAAGGAGATTCAGGAGAAACGGAAAAAATATCATCAGTTCCTTTCCTCTAAAAAAACGGAAGACAAAGAGGCGTATAAAAAAGCTCAGACGCAGGTACGAAGGCTCATAACCAAGAAAAAGAACGAATCTTGGGAGAGGAGCTGTAACAAAATAGACACGTACATAGGAGGAAGGAAAAGCACTGAGAGCTGGAAGTTGCTGAAAGGGCTGCGAAGGGACATGAAGCGGGACTTAATATCTCCGATATCCATTGATAAACTGGAGGGTTATTTTAAAAATTTACTGACAGAAAGGCGACCTGAATTTCAAGATGGAGGTGTAAGCTTGGAGTATACTAACGATAATCATAACTTGGAGATCCATATGGAGGACGTGGTAAAGGCCGTACGAGAGCTGAAGAACGATAAAGCTCCGGGTCCGGGAAATATTCCTGCTGAGTTGATCAAGTGTGGAACCGGCAAGCTGTTTCAACGGTTGAGATACCTGATGCAAGATTGCTTGGACGGTGGAAAGGTACCGACAGAATGGAAAGAGTCTTGGGTGTCACCTATATACAAGAAGAAGGGTAGAAAAGATGAGTGTGATAACTATAGAGGACTGTCGGTTGCAGGTACCCTAAGCAAAGTGTATGGAAAAATCCTGAAAGCAAAAATCGAAGAGGAGTGGAAAGAACATGAAGCGGAAGAGCAAGCAGGTTTCAGAGCCGGTCGGTCAACGATTGATCACTTATTTACCATCATCCACGTCATCGAGAAAAAGAAGGGAGTTGGCCAGGAATTACATCTAGTGTTTGTGGATCTCCAGAAAGCTTACGACAGTGTGCCATTGATGAAACTTTGGGAAGCCTTAAACAAAAGGGGTTTTAGTGGGGGACTAATTAGTGCTATTAAGGAATTTTATGGTGGGGCTTTTTCTAGGGTTAAATCGCATGGGGACTTATCGTTGGGGTTTTTAATTACTAAAGGACTGAAACAAGGGTGTTGTTTGTCGCCAACCTTATTTAAAGTGTACCTGGAAGAAGTTTTAAAGGAATGGAAAAGATGCTGTTCAGGAATGGGCGTCCCGCTACGTGAAGATGGCACCCTTTATACTCTGTGCTTTGCTGATGATCAGGTAGTTATAGCTCAGGACGAAGAAGATGCGAATTACATGACGCGGAAGCTAGTGGAAGTATACCGAAAGTGGGGAATGGAAGTAAATGTGGTTAAGACGGAGAAGTTGGTTATCGGTGGTGATCAGCAAAGCATTGAACTGGAGGATGGTCGGAAAATTCAGGACTGTGAAGAGTATAAATATCTAGGTGTTTGGTTAACTAAGGACGGAAATTTGGATCGGGCTATTAAAGATCGGAATGTGCAAGGCAGGAAAGCTATCGCGATGCTAAATGGGGTTCTCTGGGACCAGAGTATCTCCAAGGAGACCAAAAGGAAAATTTACAACGTCATCGTGAAGAGTATCGTAACTTACGGGAGTGAGGTCTGGCAACTCAAGAAAAGAACTGAAGACATGCTTAGGGCAACTGAGATGGACTTTTGGCGGAGGTCTGCTGGCATCTCAAGAAGAGAGCGTATCCGCAATGTAAAAGTACGCGAGATCATGGGTGTAGAGAAGGACATCGTGCACGATATCAGGTCCAAGCAGTTGGTCTGGTATGGACATGTGCGAAGGATGGCAGACGACCGGTTGCCCAAGCAGGTCTTCGATTGGGTTCCTCCCGGAAGGCGACGGCGTGGACGTCCTGTGAAAGGTTGGCGACAAGGGGTGGAGGAGGAGATCAGAAGGTGCCAATTGCCTGATGATCTCTGGGAGGATAGGGGGCAATGGCGATTGGGCGTCGCAGAGCGCGAGGCGGCGCTATAAAAGCGACTTTATGTATGTAGATCAAAATCAGTAGAAAACTTGCATTTACTATACAAACTTCAA